ATTTTGGAATTTACACAATAATTTAGTCCTATTTTGGACAATAATTCCATTTTTTTAATGAATTTTTTTTTGTATGTTCTTCATCAAGTGTAGTTTATCCATATCAAATTTCAGTTAAATATTCGATCGGAAAGGCAATCAAACGTGCAATTGAAAAAGACTGTGATGTTTATATATATATATATATATATATATATATATATATATATATATATATAATCGCAATTATCTTTAAAAAAATATTTGACTTCCTTCCCTATTGAATTTTTAGCTGAATTTGATATGGATAAACTGGATTTGATGAAGAACGTGCTAAAAAACATTTCATCAAAAAAATTCATCGGAAAATTCCCGAAATGCCCTCGACCGGACGGCGGTTTCCTTCAGGCCGGCTGGACAGGAACGCCACTCTGAAATTGAAATACAATTTTGCACTTTGGCTCAATTGTGATCGCACTTTTACGTTTCCCAATTCCGACGCTAATTTGATCCTATATGTAAATATTGTAATTTAGAAAAAAAATTGAGGGCACCCATTAAAGAAATGGAGTATCTATCGTACATATATTCATTTGATTTCGTTTAAATCATTATTTCATTTTGAATTTATATTTAACTAATTCAACTGCTATATTTTGATTAGTCCGTATGAATAAAAGTATGATGCCAAATTTAGGGTACCATAGAATCCTCCATACTTTATACTTAAAAAGTTTCTTTGTCCACTTTTAGGTGTGGTAGTTGATCTCGGATGGTCAGAAATTCCACTTCATTACATTTCGGTCTAAATGTATTTGTCTAATTTCACTCCTTTTTTCTAACATAAACTGATAAACATATACTTCGTGCTTTCTTATGTAAAACACAAATAATTTATAGATATTCCTCTGGATAGGAGTAAAACATAGTAATAGTTAAAAATTAGGAGCTTATATTTTTTATTCCAAAAATAGGAATTCCATTCCAACTCCACCTCTCCCCTATTTTTCTTTCTGCACCTGCACAGCGCCGCCTCTCCTTTCTTTTCTCAGCTCTCTCGTCTATCGTTTCTCATCTTTCTTCTCCCTCCTCCCATCCTCCTCTCTGCATACTCACGCATTTTCTTGTCCCATGGAGTATGGACTTCAAAATTTCTCTCCAACTTAGCCACCTCTGGATATATGGCGACTCACATGTAAGTTTTGTTCTACTTCGTCCTCTTCTTTCTCTACTTCTTTTACATCTTCTTTCTACTCCTATTATCATTATTTTCCTTGTCCCAATACTCTGCTTTCTCCACCTCTTAGATCTTTTGAATTTTTTTTGTTGATTTTATTTGCTTGATTTTGAGATTTAAGTGAAAATTGTTGTTTTAGATCTGAATTTTTTAGATTCGAAAAATCAGAGGCTTCAATGATCGGTTTTCTCAAAGTTCTAGATCTATTTTTTTCATTTATTTCAATTTATTTGTTTTTTTTTGCAGAAATAGGCTTAAATTGATAACACGTCATTTAGATAGTAGGTAATCCGGTTATATCGACGTTCGATGATAATGAGTTGAGAAGTGTCTCCCATGTGACATCCTGGCCCATGTACTCCTGAATGCACTCTGAATTGAATAATGAGTTAGTCGCGGATTTTTAACACTACGGTCCATAACTAAGTCCGTGACTACGGTCCTATTTTTTTTGTAATGACAAGCCCTTACTCAAATGTTTTCCTCACTCGTCACCACCCTAAAAAACATCTCAAGGTGTAATCCATTCTAAGAGTCCTCAAGTATAAGCACCCTTAACTGTAGATTTCTTAGTAAATGAACTTTTTAAACAAGATGCATCTTATTGGAATGAATATATAGGATTTTTGTTCCATTTGAGATCCTCTTGAGATTACAATTACTCCCACTTAATATCGCAACGTTCGTGTTGCGTCCAAAAGCTTAAACACCCACTTAGCGCTTGATTTCGACACCTTGGAGAAGCATCTGTCATATAGTTGCTCCAATACAACTTGTCACCCCTGACACTGCTCGCTAAACGTCGTATTCGGATATCCCAAATCCGTACACTTTAGCAGGGTTGCTCTGATACCACTTGTAACACCTGACCCTACTCACTAAGCACCCGATTCCAATAACACAGATGAGCACATTGTCGCATGGTTGCTATGATACCACTTGTAACACCTAGCCCTGCTCACTAAGCGCCTGACATACCAGAAGATCACCCATTTTAATACTATACTCACATACCATCATGTTGAATTGTGGAGCTCTTAGTAGATGAACTCTTAAAAGAAGATACACCTTGTTGATATGAGTGACACTTTTAATCCTTTTGAGTTCTTCCAAAGTATTACAATCTGTCGACCACACGATGTGATGTTGGTCAACACCTTTGAGATTTACGATATTAACATCATAAGCATACATTAGAGTACATATATTGTTGTAATATTCTTCTAATAGTCGATTACATTCTTGACATCATCAAGCCCTTAAATTTTTAGCATTTCAACGTGTTCCCTGATTAAAAAAAAAGAATTCATAAGCAACCGGTAATGCTTAATTAAAATCATAACTTATCTAAAATTAAAAATAAATAATTCATTACAAAAATGTTCATTAGTAATAAATTCATTACAACAATTTTCATACATAGAGAAATTCATGTTTAACTTATAAAGTCAAAGTATTAATTTCAATTTGTCATCATGAGTTTCGATTTTCCTAAATAAGATTCATCATTTTAGTTAGCACTTGATGATGTATGAATGATGTATTAGAAATGCTTTTCTTCATGATAGTCTGACAAAGGAAGTTTATATGTGATAGAGTATTAAATTCTAGAGAGAAGTGAGAGCTAGAGAGATAAAATGAACAATTAATATTTCTCAACCTCCTATAATTGCCCCAAAGGAGAGTATTTATAGGGAAAATGTGGATTTAGGCTCCTAGCCTTGGGCTTAAGAGACCCATTACAATAATAAGGCCTCTCTTTGGGCATGATAAGCCCATTAATGGGCTGAGTACATGATTATTTATCTAAGTGTAAGAATACATTATGTCTGAGTATTCTTGGTAGATGCAGGTGCCAGGCCGAAGGGGTGTCAGGCCGATGGCAGACCCACTTCTACCTTGGGTTCTTGGGTCGTGACCTGATCACTTTTGGTTCCGGCTGATGGGGTGCCATCTGGCCGATGGGACGCCACGTGGTGACGGTCGTTTGTGTTTAATCTTCTGAGTATGTGGATCGTGGGGTCTGGGCCCATATACTCTATCAATATGCGTCAGCCTCCTGGTTTTATTCATCCTCAGTTTCCTAATCATGTGTGTCGTCTCAGGAAGGCTATTTATGGTCTCAAACAAGCTCCATAGGTCTGGTTTTACAGGTTTAGTAGCTTTCTTTTAACCCATGGCTTTGTTTGTAGCAAGTTTGATATATTTTTTTCGCCAAGGGTCATCTGTTCTTTATTTGCTTCTCTATGTGGATGATATTATTGTCACTGGTAACTCTCCTTCCTTCATCTCTACTTTTATTGCTTGCCTTGGCTGTTGTTTTGCTATGAAGGATTTTGGGGATTTACATTTTTTTTCTTGGTGTCCAAGTTGTTCGTCTTCCAAAGGGTTTATTTCTATCCCAGCATAAATATGTGTCCGACTTGTTAACTAGGTTCCATCTGCATACCCTTAAACCTGTTCAACCCCCTCTTCCTTCCAGGACTAAGTTATCTCTCGCTCATGATGATCTTGTTGTTGATCCTACGGAGTAGAGAAGTATGGTAGGTGCTTTACAGTATTTGACCATGACTCGAACTGATATTACATTTGTTGTTCACATGGTTCCCCAATTTATGCATGCTCCCCGTACTTTGCATATTTTGGCAGTTAAGCGAATTTTCAGGTACCTTCAAGGCACTTCTGATCACGGCCTGTTGCTTTGGCCAGATACTAGTTCTCCCACTTTGCAAGCTTATTCAGATGCTGATTGGGCCGGATGTCCTGATAGTAGCCGCTCCACGTCTGGGTTTGCTATATTTTTGGGTCCTAATTTGATCTCTTGGAATTCCAAGAAGCAACTCACTATCTCCAGATCCTCCACTGAAGCTGATTATAGGGCTATTGCTTACACAATCCAGGATACACTTCACATCAGGTTCATACTGTCCGAGTTAGGGATGCCTATCCGCACGCCGGTTCAGCTGCTATGTGATAATGTCTCGGCTTCTTACTTATCTACTAATCTTATTCAGCATGCACGCGGCAAACATATCAGAATAGATTATCACTTTGTTCGTGAGAGAGTCTCTCATGGACGTTTAGTTGTTCGCTAAGTTCCTACGAAGTTCCAGCTTGCAGATATTTTCACCAAGTGCTTGTCTCCTCAGCGGTTTATTTTTCTTAGAGACAATCTTTGCGTTGCTTCCTCTACACAGATTGAGGGGGTGTAATAGTGTATTAATTACATTAATTAACTTTCCATATTTTATTAATTTCCTATTGTAATCAAGATACTGTTTTTATTATATATATGACATTCAGGGCTACCACATTGGTAAGCCTACAAGTATTCTCACAGGATCATCCTATTAAATATCAATCACAGACACAAAACAAAATTAATAAATACGTTAATATGAACATGAAAAAGCTTATTTGATTTTCAACTATACGATCTAGTTAATAGTACATAAGTACTTATTTTACAACTTTAAAAGTAGACTATCAGCAAACTTGTTGAAGCAGTAAAACTTGTAATAATAAGAAAATGTAGGGCAACAACTTAACATAAGTAAGTTGTTTTTGGATATTCAACATATTTTTGTAGTGTAATAAGAAGTACTAAACAACTAGCAAACGTATTGTAGTCGCCAAATTTGGACACCAACATCGTTTAATAGACGAAGTCGTGATACAAAAGTAAACTACCATTGATTATTATCCACACAATGTTAATGTTCGGTATCCAAAGAATTTTTAAAGCGCATAGCCTTCAAAGAATATTAGGTATATATTATAAGAAACAAATGATAACTTAAACTAAAAGAGAGCTGAAACCCAAAAAATGTAGGCAACCGCAATTTCCCTTACGTTTTGCCGATCGTGCAGAGTGAGGGAACAACCGGCAAATCTGGATTAGAGTAACGGTGCGTCAATGCTCTCTTAGAGGTTTTTAGTTTTGTAGAATCTCGGTTTAGTTTTTTCCTTTCTCTGTTTTCGTTTCTTTCTTTTTGGATTTGTTGTCCGGCACTTTTTCGTTTTCGCCGAGGGTTGATTTAGCTCCTTGTGAGTGGTGTGATTTGGTTGGCTTTGCTTGGAAGATTATTCCAATTTGCTTTTGTCTTAGTGTTGGTTCGTGCTTTTGATTACAAAAGAGTTTGTGCTTTTGGATTATCTTTGTTAAGTGTATGGAGAAGCACATGGATGATAAATATGGCAGACTCTATCAAAGAGAAAGAAGAAAATGGGCTGGTCTTCAAACAGGTAGCACTGGTGGGCAGCGTGGAGGTCGCAGATAGGCCTAGCCGCCTAGGTTCATGGTTGTGGCTCGAGTCGTGACAGGTAAGATCCGTCCAATTGCATTTCGGGAAACAATGGCGATGGTTTGACGTCCGGTCAAAGGAGTTAGTATTGAAGGTATTGGAAACACAAAATTCTTGATACAATTCTACCACGAAGTGGATATTAACCGGGTGATTCAGGAGGGACCTTGGTTTTTTCAACATAACTTGGTTGTGATGAGGCGCCTAGAGTTAACTGATAGACCACTTAAAGTGGAACTTAATCATGCTGATTTTTGGATCCAGATACACAATCTACCGTTGGAATTCATGATAGAAAAGGTTGTGAGCGGTATTGGAAATCACATCGGGCCACTTGTTAGAATTGATAAACGAACACTCACAGGTGCATGGAGGTCCATTATTCGCATAAGGGTAATCATAAATATCAAGAATGCATTGAGAAGAAGGTTGAAGATTTGTAAAGAAGGGGAAAAAGTGTTCTGGACAGATTTTAGATATGAAAGACTTCCAAACTTTTGTTTTATTTGTGGCATTTTAGGCCATGTTGATCGGTTCTACCCCTCAAATAGTCATTGTGGCCCTTGGTTTGGAGAAACACTGTATGGGTCCTGGTTACGAGCAGATATGAGAAGAGGAGGAGCGCATCCCTATAACAGGTGGTTGATTCATGGCGGTAACCGATAGGGCAGAGCACAGGTCGGGTTCGGGCGGGTCGGTTTCAAAAATGGTAAACCCGTTCGGGTATCGGATTGATAATTTCAAACCCTACCCGATCAAAAAATTTATCGGGTTTTTTGGATTGAAGAAGTTCGGGTTTCGGTCGGGTTGGTTCGGTTTTCGGATCCATTCGGATTTTAATTTATTATTGTTGAAATTGTGATAAATAAAATAGTAATTGGTAAAACTATCATTCAAAGTTATACTAGTATAACATTCAAAGTAATAGTTGAATAAATACGGTAATCGACATATTTGAACATGTAAAATAATAATATACGGTGATTGGCATATTTAATATTGTGATAAATAAAATAAAAATTGGTCAAAATATCATTCAAAATCATAACAATACAACATTCAAAATTATAGTTTTACAAATACGGCAATTGGAATATTTGATATGCATAATATGGTAATATAATTGGCATACAATAATTGAGATATTTGAACATGCATAATAATTCAAAGTAGTATATATACTACCCTAGTTCGGGTTTTCGGGCGGCTCGGGTAGCATAATTGGTAACCCTACCCGCTTAACTCTCGGGTTGCAAAAATCGGATCGGGTTTGGGTCATTCGGGTCGGGTTATCCGACCCAAAAAATAAAATCGGATATATCCGATCGGGTAGGGTCGGGTTCGCTCTCCCGTAGTAACCGAGCAAGTCTGGATGTAGAGGAAGATGTGATTAAACAGAAGCAGAGGGTAGCGAGTGCAGTTGAAACGAGAGGCTTTGTAGATGAAGGATTAGTGGTTAAGGAAAAGGAAGTTGCTAATGAAAAAGTGGATGTTTTGGCGGATGATCAAGTGCTTAAGATTAATAATGCAGAAGGGGGTCAAGCTCACATGGAAAACGAGATATCATTAGCTGGTGCAAGTGAGAGTCTTCCTTTGGAGGTGGCTGGACAAGCCTCTTCTCCCTTCCCGATGGATGGTCAAGTCGGAATGCTATCTTTGGAGGTGGTGGATAAAACCTCTTCTCCCTTACTGGTGGTTGGTGAAACGAGAGAGTCTTTCGCTTATGTTCCTTTTCAGATTTTGAATGTTAGTTTTTTATATTTATGTCCTATTAGCAAGTTCAACAATGCTGATAGTTTAGCCTACCATATTGTGGAGTTAGCGATTTGGCATGGCCTTTCGGGGCTACCTAATTCTATGTCTCGCTTCAGGTTTGCTCTGAGTTGTTGCTCTGCTTTGTCTACTGTTGATTTAAATATTATGAATATATGAGTGATTTTCCTTCAAAAAAAAACTTAAACTAAATAGATCATAGGTATCTATATATTCCCTCCGTCCCGTTGGAATGTTCCCACTTTCCTTTTTTGGATGTCCCAATGGAAAGTTCTCATTTCCCTAAATGGAAAGTTATCCTACATCAAAACAGTGTCAAACAGTGCAAAACAGTGTCAAACAGTGTCAAACAGTGTCAAACAGTGTCAAACAGTGTCCAAACAGTGTCCAAACAGTAAAATTTACCCCCTGGTAAGTTTATTTCCTTAATATGTGTGTAGGTCAAACCGAGAACATTCCAACGGGACGGAGGGAGTATTATTAACTCACTTAAGTGAGTGTCCCGCCTAATTTCAAGGGCATTTGCGTAAGTCAACAAAGCATTCCCTACTCTTGTCAAACTCTCCGGCACTCTGCTCAAGTCTACAAACCACCATCGCCTATTCCGTTAAACATTCTACTATTATTTCGGATGCACTTAAATGTCCTCTGCTCGTCTAAGGCCATGTCTAGGGTTTCCTTCTGATCGGCAATCTCTCCTACCGTCTCTCTGCAATTGAAAGGTTTCTAGCTTCAACGATTTCAACATCCTAATATACTAAACTCCACGAATCTCTCAATTTTATACTTTAATATTTATCTCTGACATTTCGTTTTAGCTTATTGAACAATCAATTCTAATTCCCCCAGATATTCTATTAAAGGCCTCAAATTCATTTATGAATCTACTACCTCAAATTCATTTTCTGAAGTCCTGCATGGACAAAAATGTTAACATATAATTTATCATTAGCATGGGGCTGTTTTTCATAAATAATGATCGGGAAAGTTCTTTGTGGGAATTGAACATAAAAGTTCTTTTTGAGGTATCTTTGCCCTCTTCACCAAATCGCTCAAAATATTTACCCTTTTTCCTGCATACCTATTTTTATGACATGTGGTTTGTTTAATTTAACATTTCGAATGAGATTAGAAGGAATTAAAAAAATGTGGCACATGTTGCAGCAGAATGCTGTTTTGAGTTAATTTTCCTTCCCCTCTTCTCTAAGTTGTTTAAAACATTTAGCTCCTTTTATATATAGTTGTTCTAAGACATGTGGTTTGTAGTTTTTACGATTCTTATTTCTCACCTAATTTGCACTTGACAAAGTCTACCGGTACGGAGGTAGTATAACCGTTAATGATAGAGTTGAGAAGTAGATTATGCATGTTTGTCTCAAGAACTATTGTGAGCTTCTTCTTTTTCACAAACAGTAGTCAACTTCCAAAAATATGATTTCTTTTACATATTGATAAAATGTCACAAATAAGGTAATATATTTAAAAAAAAATATGATTTCATTGTAAAATTTTAATGTCACTGTGATTTTCTATGTCACTAAGAGTTGTCGCTGAAAAATTTTCAGGTGCTGCAAAGGGTTTGTGTTTATTATGTTTATCTTTGTGGTAGTTTGACATTTGAACTATGGCTTGATTAAGAGTGTTGATATATTGCAGGCTTGCCATGAATGCGCCATTGCCATCGCCATGGAAAAATGCCTTGGCGCCTTGGATTTCGTCATACGCCATGACAACTATGTAAGCAACAAAAGGATATGATATTGTTTCCCCCTGTTATTCATCTTTTCTTTGAACGATCAGATTAACAATTGGTTAGCAAACTACTATATGCTTTGTTAAGGAGGTGAAGTTTTCTCTTACTATAACTTCTAATTTATTTTCCAAACCTTTTTGCTTATATTTTATATTACAGTTAATGATAGAATTGAGAATTAGATTATGCATGTTTATCTCATGAACTATTGTGAGCTTCTTCCTTTTCACAAACGGTAGTCAACCTCCAAAAATATGATTTCTTTTACATATTGATAAAATGTCACAAATAAGGTAATATATTTATAAAAAAATATGATTTCATTGTAAAATTATTCTTGTGCATATATTTTTGTTGAACTAACCAAGGCATCAAAAGGTGACAACATTGCTCGAGGACTAGCAACGCTCAAGTGTGGGAGAATTTGATAAGCACAATAGCTACCTATATTTTATATAGGTAATTATGATTATCTGTACAAATATTCAAAAGACAAAGCAGGTATAAATCCCATTTTGAGTAAAAACCGCACAAATACGTCAAAGATGAAAACACAAGAGTCAACAATCGAAAGGGGCCGAGAACCGACACTTCGGGGTCAACCACGGGCGTAAAACGGAGCGAAAACTGAAGAATTGCAGTGCAGGGGAAAACCGGCGCCGGTCCACCCTAAAACCGGCACCGGTTTCATTTAAAAAGGCCTTATTACGGTGAACCGAAGCAAGACCGGCGCCGGTCCACCCCTATAACCGGCGCCGGTTATACCATTTTCCACAATCATTCAGCATCGAAGCAAAACCGGCGCCGGTCTACCCCTATAACCGGCGCCGGTTAACCCCGATTCTGCACAAAACATGGAGACGTGCAGCAAGATCTTGATGGGAAAAACCCACTTTCCTTATGATCTGATCAAATATTTCTTCCATGCTTGATTGTTGGGCTCGAATGGACTAAAAGATGCCAATCTTTAGCCTATATAAAGCCCCCAATTCATCAAACAAGATCATCATTCCATTCTTGAAGATTAAATTTCAGTTTTTATATTTCCTTTTTGCATTTTCTTGAAGTGTTGGAGAAGAAGCCATTTCTCTCCTCTACAATTGGTTCTAGGTATTATTTCTTGTATGTTATTGTATTTCATTGTTCTTAGTTACACTTTTGTAATTAGTATGAGCTCAAGGAGCTAAGTTCTTAGCTAAGGCTAGGGATGAACTTCTATGCCCACTAGGTGTTTGATAAAAGTTCTAAACCAATAAATTGTGATTTATCCTTTACATTTTGATTGTTTATGACTATGGTGTACAACATAGAAGTATGTTAAACTTAGTTTATGCTTGCAATTAACGTTGAGGTCTAAACTATGAACATTAAAGGATAAACATATATATTACCGAGAATAGAAATATATCCGGTATTATATGATACGGGTGTGATGTCTTGATATTCAACGGGGTTTTCGGTAGATGAATGTAAGCCGTAACGGGACTTACACGTAACGGAAACCACGCTCTCGCTGCCTTAACCGGAGTTGAGAATATATTAGCGACATCGTATTCATAATTATTGGTAAAGAACTAATATTCAACCCTATTAAAGCATTTAAGTGATTCCCGAAGCCTTAGTTGTTGTTATCAATCACTTTAATCAAATTAATTTAAGTTATATCTCTGAAAATTAAAAAGAAGAACCAAGTTGTTGTTTTCACAACAACACACAACTCAAAATCCCTGCACTTTACTCATTTATTTATTTAAAAGTCATCTACTCTCGGACTAAATTAAACAACGTTTCCCTGTGGATTCGACCCGGTATTTTACCGGAATTTATTACTATATCGGCACTTGTACACTTGCAAGTTCAGCCCGGTCAAGTTTTTGGCGTCGTTGTCGGGGAAACGGTCTTGTTTAATAAAGTCCAAACAATCAACCAATCAAAAATCCTGAATTTATTTTTCTCAACTTCACTTGATCTTGGAAGGTTTTTTGTTTTTGCTTGTGTAGATATTCCCTTGTGTTTGCATGTAATTGAGAGGTCAAGGTTCTAAAATTCTTGAACCACTTGATCTTGAAATAGAAAAAACTTGCAAACACATTCGAAGGGAGCAAAAAGCTACAAAGATGTTGCCAACTTTGAATGAGAGGAAGAGACCCGTGGTGGCCGCTACACCATCTTGCATCACCTTGAGCGAGGAAGCAAGAGACTATGAGCTAAGGCAAAGCTACTTCAACGCTATGCCTCAGTTTCATGGCTTGCTTGGGGAAAATCCACTCAACTTCATCATGGAGTTCTACGGATTCATTCAAGGAATCCCAAGAAATGGTTTGGCGGAGGATCAACTCAAGCTCAAATGCTTCCCCTACACTCTCAAAGGGGCGGCAAGAGGATGGTTCCTAGAGCAAGCTCCGGCAAGCTACACAACATGGGAAGGTATATACAATGCCTTCATGTCTAAATACTACACAC